ATAGTATGTCGAAAAAAGTAAAAAATGCTTGGTATCGTATGTTGAAAACAGTCATAGTATAGTATAAAAAAACGAAAAACACTCATAGTATCGTAAGTCTAAAAAAATTAAAACGCTCATAGTATAGTATGTCGAAAAAACGCTCTTAGTATAGTATGTCAAAAAACGCTCATAGTATAGTATGTCGAAAAAAGTAAAAAACGCTCATAATATAGTATGTCGAATTAACTAAAAAATGCTCATAGTATTAATTCGACATACCATACTATGAGCGTACTATGAAGTTTCAATTTGTTCTCATGTGAGAAAGCAACCTTTTAGATTCCCAATAATTTATCGAAATAACACGTACAAGTGTACCAAGTACACATACTGCAATTGCTTTTAGAGGTGGGAGAGTCGCTATGGGGTGCCTTGAAACCGGCCGGCAGTTGCTTTGAAGACATTAGTGAACACATTGTGTGAAGAGTCTGCTGCTAGTAAAATCATACTTAATTGATTGAGCACTGGCAAGGGACTGACTGGGCCGGTCTTTGCGGAGTTATTTTGCCGGTGGCAACATTTCTAATGCTATAGATGAGTATGGCAAAAATGTACACAATTTGAGCTGCAATAGCATGGCGGGTGGCGCTGTTCCTGTGTAGGTTATTTGCTCCTGCTTGTTGGCTCCAGGGAAGTGAAGAGAAGTTCTGTTGTAGTGTTAAGCAGAATCCAGCTTTAGCAGACTATATCCAATGCAGTAAATGAGCCAGCCACCTGCTGCCAACGACAAGCTGGACTGCAGAGCCCTGAAGCTCCGCACTCGCTGCTAAATAGAGAGGTGTGTGTGTGTGTGCATTCTAAGTTCATTAATATTGAACATGTTGCGTGCTTATTGCACCACATTTTAAGAAAGCACTCTATGGGGTCCCCAGCAATAAACCCAAATAGTGTTTAAATAGATTGGATGAGCAGTTCCCGAAATATGCACAGAAGGACTTCTGGCTTTATAATTACGAACTATTCTGTAACCTATTTATGACATACTATACGCTGACCTTTTTATTGGATAGTAGTGTGCCTTTTCATGATCTCTATGACATACTATACAATAAACTTTTCATGACATGACATTTCTTGGTATATTATACTACAACTTTCCATGACAAACTATGAAGTTTCTTATGATAGTATAACTTTTTTATGACTTTTATTACACTAAATATATATATATATATATATATAGTATATTGTGGCATACTGTACTATGACCTTTTACCATGACTATTTTATCATATTTTTTAAGTGGCACTAATAGCAATAATGAGCCCTACTCAATTATGGAGACTATATATTGTTAAATTCAGTCATTATTATTGCATGTGCCAGTGAATGAAGTCTACTTAAATACTGCATGGAAAACCACATTACATCCTTTTATGGATTAATGTCTTCAACTGACAGTTTCTTTCATTATAATGAAATGTTTTTTTGTGGAAGTCCTCTCAGCTTGTGTCATTCATGTTCACATTTCGAAGTGTCCTTCAGCAGGACACTGAACCCAAGTCGCTCCCACTGGGCAGGCCAGCACCTTGCATGGCGGTTCCGCCACCGTTGGTGTTTTCATGTATGTGTAAATCACTTAATGAGAGGCAAATGTTGAATTGTTTTGTCCAGTAAGGTAAGTAGCTATATAATTGCAGTCCAGTTTCCATTTATATTAATAGGACAGAAATTGAATAATTTACTTCCACCTTTATCTTGTTTTGGTGAATTGACATTTCTTACCTTTGTCACCAAAACAGTCACAATCTGTCTTTAAACATTTTTTATTTGTTTTATTGTGCCTGGTCAGGAACCACATTCAAAAAGTGAATTTATTATTTAATGTGGGTGTATACTCTTCTTGTCCAGGTGTCTCTCTCAGTGCAGACTGGGATTGGCTGAAGTACCCAGTGACTCTCAACAGGATGAGCTGGTTGACCCTCCGAAGGGCTTTTCTTCCGTTTTGGTGAGGCACATTTTGAGTTTGCAATACCTTGTTGAAAAATTGTTAGGTTATTGTAGAACTATGTTCGGCCCAAAACAAGAAACAGACCTCTTCATGTGGCTTCCTTCCAGGATGATAGAAATGCATTAAAAAAGGTTATCGTCGGTTTTAGGTGAAGTTTAGTTTAACAAGATAACAGAATTATGTATACTCCTCCAAAAGCCAGATGACTTTGAATTTTTAGAAAACATGGTCTCTTATTTGATTCCCATGCAATCATCATATTCCATTGCTTTATTATGTCAGTAAAGTTTTTCAAACTTTTTTGACAAAACGATAGCTAATTAGGTGAATTCAGGGTGATACTGCTGATGGTGGTAAAAATGTTTAAACAATGCAAAATGTTGGCACAAAAACAGTTGGAGTTAGAGTGTGTGCAGACCGAAGTGAACAGGAAATATTCAGTTTTCTTGTGTTTGAAAAGAAGTCCGCAATGCTTTGTAGAAAGCCCCCCAAAAGGGAATCCATTGCCCGAAGTCCAAGCTTGCATTATAAGTATCACACTGCATGTTGTATGCCTTTTTGTTAGTTTTTTTGGGTGTAATCCCCATTTACAATAAATAAATAATACAAAAAATTTTGGACACATACGACAAATTTCCAGGACTGCCTTTTTTTGGCCTTTTTTCACCTACATAATAGTTAAAAAATCAGGCACATCCTGTCTCAAAGCGATGCAGAGAAATTAGTTCATGCATTTGTTACCTCTAGACTAGATTACTGCAATTCCTTATTATCAGGCTGCTCTAATAAGTCTCTTAAATCTCTCCAGCTGATTCAGAATGCTGCAGCTTGTGTACTAAGAAAAACTAAGAAAAGAGATCATATTACTCCTGTATGAGCGTCTCTGCACTGGCTCCCTGTAAAATCTAGAATAGAATTTAAAATCCTTTTACTTACCTACAAAGCCCAAACTGGTCAGGCACCATCATATGTTAAGGAGCTTATAGTACCATTTAGCTTTTTCCCCGGAGTCTTTGTGCTTTCTCACCTCACTGGTTCCATGGAGTTTTATCTGGACCCTGGTCCTTCCTCCCGCCATGGCCCTGCTGACTCCCACTGCTAATATCGTTTTTATTATTACTCACATTACTATTTTATATTACCGATACCATTAACGCACATTACTGACTTTGCTTCTTCACCAGAATCTCTGTGCTTTCTCACCTCACAGGTTTCCGTGGATCCTGATTACACCTGGACCATGGTCTTACCTCCTGCCGTGGTCCTGTCATATGCATTGAATGTGTTATAACTCTGTTATGCTGTTCATTCTGTACACATGACATCTATTGCACTTCTGTCCATCCTGGGAGAGGGATCCCTCCTCTGTTGCTCTCCCACAGGTCTCTCCCTCTTTTCTTCCTGTTAAAGGGTTTTTTGGGGGAGTTTTTCCTGTTCCGATGTGAGGGTTCCGGGACAGAGGATGTCGTATGTGTACAGATTGTAAAGTCCTCTGAGGCAAATTTGTAATTTGTGATTTTGGGCTATACAAAAATAAATTGAATTTAATTTACGTTTTTTCTTTATATATTTATATTTGCAAAAAAGTTTCATCTGTAAAATGTTGGGTTATTGGGGTCAACACATTGCTCTTGTTCATATGAAGATGTGCATTTTATTTCACTTTACTAAAGACAAACTTATGCACATGGTTGACCTTTTCTCTGACGATTTGATGGAGGTAGGATTGAACAAAAACAAAAAACTTTCATATGTTACTCGGTTATGGGTGTACTATTGCCCAGTACAACCACCAGTTAGTCACTGGTGCAGTCTTTTTGAACACATTTTACCACTGAACTTTCATTCATTCATTATCCAAACCGCTTATCCTGTTCAGGGTCACGGGGCGCTGGAGCCGATCCCAGCTGACATTGGGCGAAGACAGGGTCCACCCTGGACAGGTCGCCAGTTCATCGCAGGGCACATATAGAGACAGACAAACATTCACACCTGCGGGCAATTTTGAGTCTCCAAATAACCTGAGCTGCATGTCTTTGGACTGTGGGAGGAAGCCGGAGAACCCACGCTGCAACGGGGAGAACATGCAAACTCCACACAGAAGGACCACCCGGGATCGGGGATCAAACCCGGGCCCCTCTTGCTGTGAGGTGATAGTGCTAGCCACTACACCACCGTGCAGCCAACTTTAAACTTAACTTAAAACTTAACTTAAACTGAACTTTAAAGGACTTTAAGCCAGAAGTGATCCAGTCATACATCCATCTGAACACCCGGGAAAGGAAAGGATCCTTAACTTTTCGCCACTTTCAGAATACATAGTTATTTATAGTAAAACCAGTATAAGATAATTTCAATTTTCCTTTGATGACCTTGAACACCAAGACCATCTAAATTTGCAGGGAACGTTTCTTTTCATATATTTAATTTATTCTTAAAATATTTCATGATAAAAAATGGATGTAAATGACGAATACTTCTGCAATGCTTTCTCTTTCTCTCGTTCTCTCTCCTTGTAGTATTCATCGCCGTCAAAAAGATGCCAGATTTGTGCACGAACAAACACAAGCAAAAAAATAAATGAAGAGATCAAAAGCCATAGAGAGGAAATGAGTCAGTATTCCACACCATGTACAATACAATATCATAGCAAATTAGCAGATTTCAATGGCTTCCACTGACTACCATAGATTTACAATGTTCAGTTGGCTGCAGATCAGTCCTGAATAAATTGTCACTTTCCTTTTTTTTCAGTAATGGTTCTGATAGACAGTGACTTGTAGATGACCATGAAAAGAAAGCGGCTACTGAGGTGTGAACAGAAAACCTGGGACTACGAGCTAGCAGTAATGAGAACAACAGCATTTGTTCACATCCTACTAAACTGCCATTGTGACCACATTTTAAGTCCAAGAAGCTTCTCTACAAAGGTACAACATATAAAACTGTTAAATATATAACTTTTTAGGGCCTTTCAAAATACATTTAATGACATTTCTTTACTCTCTCTTCAGACTCAATAGCATTTATACGCTCTGTAAATATTCATCATCTCTTTAATATGATTTGCGCTCCTGATCCATGACCAACTCGACAATGCTTCCTTCAAGCTGTCCCAACCGTAGCTACTGAAAAATGCAAATCAGAATTTTTTTTTTTTGATACACAGTTATACGTATGTAGTACCTATATCTCCAGTTCCGAAATACAGTGGTGGACTTAGTCTGAGAAAAAATGTCTGGAAAGTTTTAAAAGTACTCCTTTGATCGTGTCCAATACATGTGCCACCGGACGCCAGTTGTCGTTTGCGTTGGCCCATTTGTGCACCGTGTCTCTGTGGGGGCAGTCGTTGGTCGGTGGCGACAGTAAAAGCAAGTTCACAAAGTCTCTGCGTATCCTTGCCACATGGTCCACTTTGTCATAATGATCGTATTTGTTGTTTTGCTCTTTGGTCTATAAAAATATGGGAGGTTTACTCCAGCAGAAGGCCTATTCACAGCAAAGAGCGCTCAGTTTGTTTTTTTGACGGCCGCGTGAGGTGGTCCGAGAAGCAACAGGGTCCGGTCTGTAATGAGTCCCGTCTTTGCTCTGGAACTGCTGCTCTAGAGGCTAGGAGAAAGTTGTGGAGAAATCCCCTTTTCAAAGCAGTTAGCAGTTTCAAACAAAGTACTTCCAATGAGGCAAAAATCATTCGTAGGATTCAAAGTGTCCGATCCGCCGTGGTACAAGCAGGCACTGCTAATTTCACAGAGCAGGCAGATAGAGTGGAGAGGAGGTGGACACAACATTTTGACCCAATGACAGATAGCAGTTGGGAGCAGTCAGAAACCCGGAGGGGCTTGCCACAGGAAACGGAAAGGGTTTTACAGCAAGTAGTCTGTCCAGTGTCCAGGAGAAAGCTTGCTCCCTCAAACAGTCAATCCCTGGTTTTACCATCTCTAGCTGCGTTATGAGACCTGTGAATCAACAAGAACAGAACAAACATCAGGTGATTGTTTAGCACAATGTCATCGTCACACTCTACAGTCTTTCAGGCAGCACACATTGTCTTTGTACTGCCTGTACATTCAGCACTTTGTGTTTCGAAATATAAGTGAAAATACGATCATGTTCTGTAATTAATACAAACAATTCAGGAATTTGACATTTACCTTTGGAACTAAAGTTTGTCTTTGGAACTAAAGTTTGTCTTTGCAGAATACTGTCTTTTAATGCTCTCTTTTACTACTCCAGTAGTCTGTCTTCCTTTCAAAGTAAAACATTATTTGTTCAACATTTTGAGGAAAATGCTTGTTCACTTTCTTGCAGAGGGTTTATGAAAGGATTCAGACTCGCATGTCTGATTGGAAACAAGGGGGAAGCAGCTAGTCTGGCTCTGTCCACATGTAATAAAATCCTCCTATCAACACCTCTAAAGCTTGCTGATGTTAAAGCTTGTTCTTTTAAATTCGCACAAAAAAATGTAAACATGCAAAGTGTATTAACCTCAATGTGTTGGGTGGACCTCAGACCCTCTGGGGGGGTGTGGGGGCATGGCCGCCCTAAGAAAATATTGTACATTTAAAAGTTAAATGTATCAATCTTGTGCACTTTGCATTTATTTGTCTTGATGATCTTGTAAACAAATTTGTGCTGGAATGTTGCCAAGTAAATTTATGGCATTCAAATACTCTACTTAAAGGGTAGCTTTGGTCTTTTTGGTAACCTTTTCAACCCTATTTTCCCAAGTTTTTGTGTCTAAGCGACTAATGAGGACAACAATTTATAAATTGGTCCAGTGTTGAGTGAGTGCGCTGCTAACGGCAGACGCTACACAGGCTGTAATGTAATCGTTAACTGTCAGTTAAATACATCATTCCTAATTGGGCCATTCAGCATGATGATTACCTTCACTTTTGGTCATTTTTTTAATGCAAATAGTTTTGTACTATTATTTATACAACAGTTTGATTAAAGGACTTATACTTGTAGCCTGTATGTTTACACTGGTAGTACTTGTGTAAGTAAAATATCTTAGTAGGCTACTTCTTCCTTCACCACTGCCGTCTAGAAAACAATTTAATCATAAACACAATGGTTGTGGATGAGTAATCTGCCAACTAATACCTCTAAAGCTTACAGGTTATATCTTGAAAACAAAAAGTACAGCCTTTAACTGATTCCTCCTGTTTCCAGTCTTTATGCTAAGCTAAGCTAAGCTAAGCCAACTGGCTGCAGCTTCATATGATATCGATGATATCTCAATCTGCTCATCAAACTCTCAGCAAGAAAGCAAAATATCTTAATAAAGCAAAATGTTGAGCAATTCAACATAAAATGATTTATTTTAAGGGGAGAATCATTGCATACATTGTGTGATACTAAAAACCTTGTTTATACCCATTGCTCCTTACCAAACAGAGGTGCTTATTACAGCACTGTGGTAGAATTGTAAAAATAAAAACTCTCTGCCAAAGTAAGTGTTTTACTCGTCAAACTTGTATAATTCGTCAGCGGGTGTAACCACATAACAAAGCGAGTCTCGCGTGCAGAACAATCTACCAAAAGAAAGACAAATTTGGAAGCCTCCTCACCATCTGGCCCCTGCCAGTCACGCAGCCAACTTGATAGAGGCGCTGATGTCTTTCAGGAATTCTGAGGTTTAATTCATAATTATGAACTATTTTTGATTTAAACAGGGGGCAAATTGCCATGAAAGGGGCAGGTGTTGGATGGAGTACTCGCATGTATCACGGACGACAATTTCTGATGCTCTGGGAAATAATAAACATATCACTGAGCTCAGCGCTTAATAGAGATTATGTCATGGTTTTGTTGGTGCTAGGCATTAAATGACCCAGAGGCATAATAGCTTAAAGCAGGGACATGCCTGTGCCATCCCTTGACTGTGACCGCTGCCCAAACAGGTGTTTATTCCCAGTGTAAGCACAACTTCCTTATCTCAATGCCTCCTTGTGGGCACACTGAGATTACAATGGCTTCGATTGGTCAAGAAGTCACAGATAAAACAGAAGCAAGACAGAATCACTGCATTGACACATCTAAAGAGGAATGGAATGCATTTAAATAGAAGGCCAGGCATAGGCAGTACAAGGTAACTTTCTTATATTCTCTGTTCCCCTCCTTTTTTTCTCACACCCACACTGTGGCGAATGGCTCCCTATAAATCTCACACACAAATTTCATCTCGGGGAAATGCAAGCCTTCTATTAAAAAGAGGAGCGAATGTCAGATGAATATGAGATGAAATTGCCCTATGAATAAAATTCACAGGCCCTCAGTGATTATTACCTCGGGTTTATCAGAAAACGACCATATTACTGTATTTTATATCTTATAACAGCAACAGAATATTTTACATTCTTGCGGCAGAGGAATGCAGGTAGAGGGAAATGTGATGAAGAGCCCGTCTGGCTATTGAACACATGGACCAGCTGTTAGTACAGTGGGGTCTGGCTATCTAAACAAGACCAGAAAGAGAATTAGACCATAAATTAGACAATTCGAGTGAGACTGATAAGTGCTGCACGTGTCATAGTTACAGAAGGGGAAAGAATCCATCTGCGCTGATGTCCAATTTGTGCAGGATTCCTGTTGTTATGAAGCTAGCAGCAAATCCACTAAATACATATTGATATATACCCAGCAGCATTCAATCGCAGATAAGGAACACATTAAACATTGGATTCCAGGGGCGTTACTTAGAGCTTCTTGTCTCCGGGCAAAGCTGAAATGCTTTGATCTATAAATAAGCATGCATTTCTGCTGGCTTTCATATGCATTTTGCATGTGCAATCAAGTGAAGGTGCATGTCAGATGAGCAACAGTTAAAGCAACGGCCTGACATTTCCTCTTTGGATGAACTCTCGCTGACTTCAAAATGTCACAGCGCTGTGACCCACGGTGAACGTGTGAATGGGCGTCGCATGAGCAAAAATTGATCTGCCTTTGCCTCTCCAAACTCTTTATTGAGACTCTGATGGATGTGAATAATGCAGAATCTCAGGAGAATGTGGTTGATGAATTGATGTTTGATTGATCGGCTGATTTGTTAATTCGTTGGAAGCTTTTTTTGTTACACTCCGAAGAGGGCGAGGCGGTGCCGAAACATCAGCTAATGGAATAAAGCCTTTTCTGCTCATCTGTCATTCTAAAGTGCCCCTGCTTTTTTTTGCATCAACTACCTGTTTCTAATACTTGTTCTTGCCGTCGCTGTTTAATGTTCAGCCTTGTGCAGCCAAGCACGCTTCCTTTTGGATTGGAGCATGCAGGCTGCACAATAGCCCACTAGATGAATATTCATAAGTGAACTTGTAGGTTAGCAATGATCCACAGGTTAATAAGGGAAGGGAAATCGCTCATTACATTCTGTGAAGTCGGATAATGCCTGAAGCAGACGCTGAGATCAAAATACACGAACATGTATGCACAGGCCTCTAGACACTAGGCCCCATTACACATTAAGAGAGAGTTCAAAGCTATCTGGGATGTTACGTCATCATCAACCCTTTCATACTGCATTTCAGAACATCAAAGCAAACACATCATACTATCTGGATTCTACAATATGACCAGAACTTCAATTCTCAAGAGGTAACATTAGAACAGATTTAACGTCGCACTCCCACCAGAAAGGAATTAGAAAATGTCACTGATTTTGTTTTAGATTCAAACAACTGGAAATGTTCCCCCATTTCCCTGAATGCACTGTAATGTATAGATTCTATCTGTTCATGCAATAAGCTACTGTATTGTATGCCAATGCATGGGAACAGATGATTGCAGATAATATGGTATTGTTGCCCTTTACACAGCACATTATGGGACCAAAGGTTTCAATCTAATCTTAGATAGCCTTCTCCGTTAGTAAACAGATAATGATCTTCTATATCAGTGATTCTCAACTGGTGGGTCGCGGAGCCGTTTTCAGTGGGTCGCGGGCCTTTGCCTCAAAAAAAAAAAAAAAAATTGAAAAAAATCCTGTGCTTTTATTTCGAAGGGGATTTTTTATGCAGCGGAGTGCATAAAAAAATCACACTCTTCACACTCCTGAACAATATTTGGCGTTAATGCCTTGTAATGCTAATATCAGCAGGGGATAAACTGAAACCTCTGTCAAATGACACTATAAGTAGGCGAATTGAAGACATGTCGGATGACAAACAAACAACAGACCACAGCTCGAATTTAGGCAAGTGGTCATTTTACATTACAAATGGACGAATCTACAGACATAAACAAACAAAGCAGTTTTACTCATTTACGTGAAACATGTGTGGGACGGGGACTTACAGGAACAAAAGAGAGCTCCCTACTACTACGACTGCAGAGGACATTTTCAGCTCAGGTTCAAACTGCACCATCTTTTCATTACATACATTTGAGAAGTTGAAAATTGTCCTCCATTTGGGTCGCGGCTTGTCATTAAAGGGGTGGGTCCCGCAGCCAGACCAGTTGAGAACCACTGTTCTATATGATGCGCTGTGAGAGGATCCGCCATCACGCATGCATTCCACTCTGTGTCTGTTTATACTTTCAAATCTACTGAAGACTTGCTGTCTGGCCTGTAAAGCAGCCGGATCAGATTTATTTCTAGAAAACGAATCATAAATGCCGGCAATATTGACCGAGAGAAGAGCCTGGTTTTTAGAAACTCTATGAGACCGGGCATTTTTATGACTTTGGCCTCATCCCTTTTATTGCACAATCTGCTAAATTTACTACATGGCTACTCACTGTTTCCCAATCACATGCATTAATATCTGTCTGGCGCCTTGTTTTATTTTAGCGCACAGACGCCATACGACACAATACTTTTAAAGACAATATACAAGGCACAGCAATAAAGCAGAGCAAAACAAGCTGAAAAGAAACTCATGGATTTTCTGTGGTTAAACACACACTTGGGATCAGGCGAGTTTATGGAAAGATTTGTAATCCAAATAAAGACATTAAGGTTGTTTAAATTCTATCAGGGTTTATGTGTGTCTGTGATTCTTGTTTGCATTTTCTGCTAAAGTGGGAGGGTGATGTGTTTGTGGACTAATAGATCCAGGAAAGTGGTTGTAATGATTTTGATTCAATTTTGAAAAAATAAAAAAACTACCAGAGGGACAAAGTTATGATTATTTTTTTTGTCAAGTTGGGTGATCCCCTGGATGTTATCACGGAGAACTTTACGGTCCTTATCAAATGTCCAGTGTGTGCCAGGGGAGACTCTGACATTCATCATAAGTTCTGATCAGCTAATATGTATTCAACCAACATGTCGCGATCACATGCAAACTATGCGGATTATTAGTTGGTAAAGTGTGTGGGAGGCATCTCCCAGTTCAAAAGTCTAGGCATGATTGTGTTAGAATTTGTCTGGAACTTGAGACCAAGACCCTGTAAAGTGGTCCAGAAGTCCAATCAACAGGTGCTGTTCAACAAGATACTACAGCTGCCAACTCAAAAACTCCTGCAATCCTAACTTCTCTCTGAAACATATTTATGTTTTTTTGTATTTAGTTAACCTCCCATGTTTTAAATCCTTTATTCTAATTAAAGATAATTTCTGCTACTTGATTGAACCCACTATATCTGTAAATGCTGGTGTTCTGTAATACAATCTTCAGTATATCAATTTGTATGTCTTTCTCTGCCTCTACCCAATTAATCAACACCCACACACATATGGAACATTTTGGATAAATCGTGTATGTGCAGTAAATAAGATGACCATTCGGGCACATGGTTGCTTTTATATATTTTTTTTAATCAAATAACTTCATTTTAAGAGAGCCATTTGGCTATGCATAACAAAAATATGATACGACTAATCTCCCTTTTCAAAACTAGCTCCACTACAAGAACCTGAGTAACAAATCAAAGAATTAGAGGGGAAGGGGCTTTTCAGTTGTTACCTTGCTGCCTCCATGTGGCTCTTGGTGCTCTGTCGCTGCTTGTGTTGCTTCCTGCCTTTGCTGGACCAGGGTTTGGGTGGAGTTGTTGTGATGTTGGTGGTGGTGGTGGTAGGGTGCTGTTGGCAGATGGTTTTTGGCTGTCTGTCAAGGGGTCATCAATGCTCTCCATAGTGCAAGAGTGTCGAGGGGGACTCTTGTCGCGTCATAGAGCCTAGGAGGAGAGAGGGTGAGGGGAAGGTGGTATGGTTATCAAGCTCACAATGAGGATGCAGTGTTTTATATTTGATTTAGTTTTTTTGGGATTTAGACAGTCACGGCACCGTCATCAGCACCAACACCATTATCAATTTGTTTCGCTAAAATGATCTTTGTTCAAACCCGATAAGCTGTTCGTTGCTGGTGTGTCTCAAGGTAACTGTTCTGTGCATATTAAATATAAAAGTGTGGGAGTAAACCAGAGTCTGAGTCTGTATAGCCCACATGGAAGCAAAACACAAAGAGTCCTTTTGTTACCAATTGTACTTTGTGTTTAGTGCTAATTAGTAATTTTTAGCATGCTCACATGCTAAACTAATAAGGGCAACATGGTAAACAGAACGCACAAGTAAACATTTTGGAGATGCATGGTTTTCAGCAGCAAAAAAAAAAAAATCTGTATTTACTTGTGAGTGAGTGTCCACATGTGCATTTGTTGTAGCCTGTTTGTTAGAAGAAACCTACAGCTCTGGTAGTAGTAACTTTCTGCTTTATGAAATCAATTACCTTTTTTGGCCACATGGAAATGGCTGAAATTCTGAAACTGGGCCGTGTGCTTTCATTGGCTAGCAGACATTTTTGGGTTTTGGAAACGCTGCCTTCTTAGCAGATTAATCCCACAAGCTCTTAGGCTGTTGTTAAGAAACTAAAAAGGCAGACTCTATTGTTTTAGTTGTCTTTCTGCCTCTCTTACTAACAGCCCCAGCTTTCCAAAATGGAGGATTTGGTATTTTCCAAACCGAGACAATGTGCTGACTTGGCTCCCTCAAGAAAGAAGCTGGCAGATCCAGCTAATGGTTAGCAGCACAACAGGGTCTCTTTTTCTTTCTCCCTTGGCCTGTCTAGGGTGGCCAAGCAGCTTTCTTCTTAGCGGTGAATCTGTTCAAACCACTGCTGGATGTGCCTGGAGGGCCCAGAGGGATCAATTACTGAGGCCGGTACCGACCCAGAACCGGGGGGGGGGCGTGATGATGGTGGAGCTTTGGCGGATTCCATCAGGTCCAGCGCCTGAACCGGATCCCCATAGAGACGGAGAGGAAGAGATGAAGAAACAGAAAGAAAGTGATGGTAAGGGGACTGGGGGATATCAGAGGGAGGCACTTGCTTGCAAATCCCGAACGAAAGAGCTTTTTCATCTCGACCAACATGCCTTCACTAGCAGATGTATATAATATATGCTTAAATACAAAACCTGAATACTGAATACTTCAGGTTCACGGGGGGGCAATCCCAGCTAACATTGGGTAAAGGCAGGTTACAATATGCACAGTGAAGGTAAATTGAATCACAATGGGATCTTTTTTGTACTTTGATTGTAAATAACGGGCTACACTGCAAAAAACCCATCTAAATAGAGCTCGTTTATTAATCAAAATTCAGTGCCAGGGAGGGATCCCCCGGACCCCCCACAGAGGTACAGGCTAAGCCCCGAATGTCTGTTACTTGTTTACTAACTGGCCACTGGCCTTTTGTTGCAAAAGGCAAAAGTGGCCCCCAGGAGATTCTGTTAGTGGGAGGATAAAAAGAGCTTTTATTTCCACGCAAATTCACATCAAGGCACGAAGAGTCTGCATGTTGAATCTTGCCCTCTCTCACTATACAGAGTACCTCCGGAGTGTATAAAATATACATGATACATGAGATCACAGTATCAAACATTATACTCGCGCTCAAACATTTTTTTCCAATTCCTTATATCTTTCTCCTCTATTCTGCTTGATCACGGTAATCACAGCCCTTACTCTCACAAAGTGCCAATTCTGTTCACAGCCTAAATACCCCAATCAGGACTGACCTAATAGAACGTATGATTAAGACCTAGTCGCACATTAAAGGATCTTTAGTCATTTAAATAGTCCCGGTTTCTACATTTTGAACCACCGTTTCCTACAATGTCTGAAAATGATTGTGTGTTGTACATGTAAAAAGTACAGTACACAAGACATTTCAAGACAAGTGCACTTCTTTTTGCTGAGTGTTAAATCAATTGAAAACATTGACTATAGCATGTGCATACAGCATGGCAGTAGTGAAAAAATTATCCTGAGAATTTTTTTTTCTTCGTGAGAGAAAACAGACTTTACAAGCACTGAAAGGCTTAACGACAAGAGCCACTGCTTGATGCACACCAACAGACTTAAATAATGTTTTACGACGCTGTGCGTCTGACTGGCCCAAATCTATTTCTATGTCTTTCACTCACGCTGCTTTCTTCTTCCCTCAAACTGCTTTTTTCTGTCTCTCTTTTAAATTGTTCGTCTTATCGGGCTGTCACAAAAGCCGCCAGATAACCCGAGGTGATTTCGTTTTTTTTCCCTCTAATGGCGCACTCAGTCTGCCTATTTTTCGCCGAGCTCCCCGCGTCGGGACATGCAGAGAAAGAGAGAGATAGCTCTCCCTCCGCCGTTTCATCTGCCAGTCTAAAATGGTGGAGGGCACAATGCAGAGCTTCCCTCCTCTCGGGAGAGATAGACGGCGGTAAGCCTTTCACTGAGAGAAGGAGGTAGAGGAGATGACTGCTGAGACTACGTATCGCTTTGCCAAAAGAGAGCGCTTGGAAAGGCAGCAAAGGCCACATTTGACTGTGGTGACTGTGTGATAAAATGCAAATTCAAATCATTTAGTGTCATGGAGGGAGGGAAGTATATTGGCAGTGGGAATTAACCCCTGGTTGCTGCGTAAAGGAGTTTCTCTATCTGGGGATTTATTGCAGATGAGCTTTCCAGGGAACATGGCATTTTGTGTTGTTAGGACGCTGTGACTATTCCCCAAACACTAGCGTGTTAGTTTATTCAACATGTGAATATTCTCAGAACACTGTAGGTTATAAAACAGTACACTATTTTGCTTGCACTACAAATTGTTTTGCAGCTTATACACCATAGGCTCTGGTTGGATAATCGCTATTCAGGGGCGGGGTTTTAGTGAAAATTGGCCGAACATTTGAAGATTTGTTATGTTTTTGACAGATCTCTCCGGCCAATAATTATTAATCATTTTTATGCCCATAAGGGTTGCTATAAAGCATGCTTCTTGGCAGACATTTGCTTTTATGTACTTTTATGTACTTTTATGTACTTTTATGTAAGAAAAGAAAGTGAAGTGGTTAGTGATGGACATGCAGTTGAGTGTCCACGTGCATTTTATTGTTTCATTAATACGGTTAACTGAACCCAAGGAGCTCATTTATAGTCTTAGAGCTTGATATGGTTCATCTGAGGAATTCAATTTTCTGTTAGGTCAATCATTTAGAGGAGAAACTTGTCACTGTATTGGCAAGACTCTTGATACTGAAATAAATGATGTGCAATGGCTTCACAAGTGCACCTCTGTTTGATATGTGTCCTTTTCAACTGCAGTTGTGCGTGTGTGCACTGCCAATACAAGTAACCTCGCTCAAAACGTCACTGTCAATAATAAGCAATGTACATATCAATCTTCATATGTTTCTTCTGGAGCCGGCCCTACAAAAAAAAAAATCCATATCGTGTTTTTTATTGACAGGAACAACATGTACCCTGTAAAGCAGGGTCAGACTAAGACAAATGCATGGACACAGGGACAAGGCGGAAGAGAGGGAAAAGTGAGAGACGGGGAGGGAGATAATGTAAAAAACAGATGTGGAAAAAAAGACTCTATGGAGTCAAGCACAGGGAAAACAAGTGTGCGAGGAAGTTATTTTTAAACAGAAGCACATCAAATGGTGGCCTCTGAGAGGATGAGGGAGAACGCACAGCATACATCAATCTGCCTTGCAACTCATACGAGCAGACTGAAGGTAGAGAAGAGGTCAGCGGTGTCATCCTGAGCAACAATCTCCTTCTGTTTGACAGAGAAAACACAAATTCTCAAACATTTGACCAATACATGCAAACCGCCTCCTGACATTTGTCCAAAATAGCCCTTTATGGGGCTGAGTCAGATTGACTTGGCTTAGTCAAATGCCCCGCGGGACATGTCTGTTTGTCTGCATTGATGTTTTCCCACAAGCACCTGACAGACAGGTCGGACATGCTTACTGGACTGTGCACAGCCGGCAGTCATTCTTAGGCGATATTGGGGCGGCTGCAGTTTGGGTTTAACCTTGAAAAGCCTGAGGGAAGGGGCCATTTGTTCAAAGTTAACCAGAGGGAGGCTGAGGAGTAAATTGTTTATTTTGTTTTTGCCCGTCATTCTCCCTTGGGTCAAGCAGATAACAAGAGGTTTATGTAATTTCAGCTTTGGAGAATCAGCCTTAACCTTTAATGCATTTCAGGCAATTTTAGGTTGTACACGCATGGTGGTGAAGTAAAATCTTCAAGACTTTCTTCAACCCTGAGATTAAAGGGAGCGTTACATTAGGCCAGTTCATCCATCACATCAATTAATATTTTTAGAAGAATTTTAAGCAATGACCCCGAGTCTGCTTGTTGCAAGTTATTAGAATCCATGACAGTGAAAGCTGCTTTAAAACACAAACACACACACACACACACACACACACACACACACACACAGACCACACACACACACACACACACACGGACAGGCACAGATGAGTGCACATAGCTGTCCAGCCATTTGACTAGCTGTCACCAGGCTTAAAGTAGCCAATGAAGCAAGCAAGAAATACCTGTCACGTCTCACATATTGTCAGCATAAGCCGACGAGAGGCACATTGACGGACGTCCTGAGCAGGATATGAAATGTGCTCGAGGCCTAGGCTTACACGGCCACCCTTTGAAAGCAGGGACACATATTCATAACTCTGAGTATACAAACAGTTGAAAACATCAGTAGGAGCATGTTAACATACACATAAGGATGCACATCTATTAGCCTCTAAATAAACAGTGACCACTGCATATGCATACTCAACCCCCCTCCAACACACACACACACACACACACACACTAGCTCTTAAATCTGTCAAACTAACACATGGATCCAGTTATATGTTGCCTAGGGGTGTTAGTGTGTGTGTGTGTGTGTGTGTGTCTGCCTGCACAGATAACAAATTACATTGTAGGTGGAACATGTCATGGCTGTCACCTCAGTCTCCACAACTACTTATATTCAGGTTGGTGTCCGCTGAGAGACTCACAAAATGGTAAGAGAGCAGAGGCAGCAGCTGATAACAAACCATATCATCTGGGCTCAGCATTCAGGGTGTGTATCTGCTACGTGTTTGCGTGTATGTATGTGTTTGTCTTCAAGCAGGAAGGCATAAACAAGTTAGTCAGCTGATGACTAAATCATGACAGATGCATTAATGATGCCCCACCGGTCCTCAGTGTTCACCCATTGACATTCACAGATAGGGCAGCTGTGTTGTGTGTGTTTGTCTGTGTGCGTGTTGTGTAACATGTTTCTTAACGGAGACCTCTTTAATTGCCAGAGTAAAGACTGTGCATACAGGCTGAAGAGCAACAGGGTTTTACATCTCTTGTAAAGCTGTGGGAGGATGTAAGGCCTGGGATGTGGGAAGGTGTGTGTGTGTTTGTGTGTGTGTGTGTGACTTTGAGCTGGGGGTGAAGTGGAGAGGAGGAGGCTTGGAGAGCTGGAGACAGGGTTTGAAGGACGGGCGGTTGACTGAATGGGCGGCATCTTAGCGAATACAAGTGGTGGTTCCCCATCTGCTGCCATCATTAACATTAAGAACGTCACTAATTCAAGCTAATTGCGGGTGACGAGGAAGTAAACAAACCGCGTACAATTTGTGGAGACGAGCTGAAGACGAGGAGGGTGGGAGAGGAAATTTTTTTTAAAGCATTTTGAAGTGAATTCTCAGCTGATTTTTAGGCTATTATCAATGGAGTTGTGACCCGACAATGTGCAAGCTGTTCCAATGTGCGGTGGAGATGAGCAACAGTTGGAGATGAGGCTCAAAGTGTGCAATCAAAAAGAATGAATATTCAATTTTCTTATATTATCCAAGAATCTCCTGAGGAGGTTGTTTTGAGCTGCAATACTTTCAAATTACCAATGGGTTGAATGACTATGTGTAAGGTGTTACACTTAGCGATTCTGTGGTTCCCCTCAGAGTTTTAGTGTTTTCAGGTTTACGACCCACAACATTTCAGTGAAAGAAACAGCAGACAGAAACGTTTGCTTCAAGCTAGTGATCATAGCAAAGCATTAAAGCAGCTAAAGAGTCGCCTTTTTTCCTGGGATACTGGAACAAAACAGCCAAAAAAGGTAATAATCAGTAGTCAGGAACTTTACTTAGTGATGTCAGCACAGCAATATCTATTTAAATATATATAGCATTAGCTAGCATAAGCCACCATACATGACCGAATGAGGCTGTAGCAGCAAAAGCCAGTAAAGGTGCCTTTTTCTTTTGCTTGTAATTTTATATATTTGATTGTAAAATGCACACCGTTTCTTTCATCTATCAAAAGTTACATAATCTTGCCAGTTTGAAAAAAATAATAAACAATTGTCAGCAAATGTAGAATGTGTAATATTTTACCATTTGTGTATGTCAGGCAGTTTGAGAATACAAATATTGTAAATAAAATAATCACAACCCAAAAATCACCACACAATTATCCACAAAATCAGTAGCAGGAAACTGCACATTAATTAAAGTGGGCTTTAGATAAGAGCTTTTTATGGGAGCCAATACTCACTAGTGTTTAATATCCTGTAAAATTATTCATTTTGTGAAAATGGCCTCTAAACAGCAATGTTTGGCAAGCAAAACTGTTCAATCAGTACAAGAAACAGCATTAAATGTGTCCTTAGTTGTCGATTAACACCACAATTGATTTTCTATGCAAATGCTTTATTTTCAACTCACACGGTCATGTTGTTCTCAGAGCCACTGGTGCAGTGAGTCCACACATTTTGCACACACCTACTGGTTTGAGAGTGCTTTGTGTAACCTGGGGGGGCGAAAAGAGAACTCACCGTGGTGGTTTTGACTCGGCCTCCGGGCTGCGTACAAGTCCAGCCAGATTTATTGACTAACAGGTCACAGCCTTCGTCCTCCAAACATGGCACCATCTCACACCACTGCTTTTTCCGAACAATACCAGCTGCAGAGAACACAGGAAAAGAGCGAAAGAGCGATTAGAGAGGTGAGAAAAAAAGAGCAGGAATAAACAGATGAAGAGAAGTGAGAGAGGTCGATGCAGAGATGTAACGATTAAAATAGAGGGAAGTGGGTTGACGGACGACAGATGGAGTAAGACAGATACGGGCAAAGATTTAACATGATGGAAAATGATGGAAAAGGGGGCGATTTGAGAAAAATGTTGAAATATATTTAAATGGAGTGAAAAAGATGGAGAGATGTAGAGGGGTTGATTGGAAGAGAGATGAGGAATGCAGGTACATGAAGAGCAATGGAGTAAAGAGACAATTGAGAGGTATGGGAGGAGGGGATGACAGGGAGTGATGAGGGAAAGATGGAGAGAATCAGGCAGATGGAGAGAGATGGAGAGAGCTGGAGAGAGCTGCCATCAGTCAGGTAAAGAAAATCAAACATCACGAATGATATTTAGCGAGTTTACAGCCTCTCTTGCATTCAGCAACATTTTAAACAGGACCAAATACTTTTCCTTGCTTCTACCACAAGGAACAAAAAATACTCCTATTTCATGTACAGATTTAAAGATCTGACATTTAATGCATTCCAAAAGGCTTTGTCGTAACATGTTGTAATTTGTACTTTTTCTAGTACGAACCTTGTCTCAGTCTGCGCTGCTGTATTTCAGTTTCTACACTTCCTAAAACAGGCCCAGGCTCAATGGTATGGCATTATATGTACTGTAGGCTTCTTCACTCATAGACTGAGAACGATCAAAGGAACCATAACTGATTTAATGAGCCAGTTTAAGATAGTTTTTTTCCAGAATCTCTCCCATTCAGTGACAATTAAATTGGAGTTTTTCAGTTTTGAGAAAAGTGATGTAATGCAATCTTTCAATACAACAAATGCATTTTGGATGCTTAAGTTGAATAACCTGTACCTCGTTTTGGGTGTGAGCATCATTAGCAACCTCTGTTGTTGGTGTGTGAAGGATTCACACCGTCATGCGATTCCTATTTTGCATCAGAGCTTCTTCTCACCTAACAGCAATGCACTGAGCTTTGCTCTGTTCACATAGATCCTTGCCCCACTGAAAAAGCATTCAAACAAATCAGTAGGTACAATGACATACATCTTACTGCCACTTGTGAATGCTAAATATATCTGGCTTTTATACATTTTTTCTTTGTGATTGTTAAGCGTACGACCAAAACAGTAAGCTCTTTGATTCTGCTGAACATGAGATCAAAACCTGACATGCTGTTGGTCTAATCATATACTAAGATATGTATATTAGCAGTAGTTTCAGTATCTTCTATAGAAACAGCAGCCAAGTACTGGAAGAAAATCGGATATAATTTATGCAGTTACCTGTTTCTGCAGTGAGAGGACATGTGAGGGGCAGAATGAATCATCGATGAGCAATTGAAAAAAAGACGTCACACATTTACACTGAATGTGTGACTCTATAATGACATATCAGCAGCAGATGAACAGCCAGAATAAAGGCACAAAGTCAAATTTGCAAAACAATCCTTCCAGTGCTTTTTGGTGTAATAAGAAACCCCCAAAAGAAAAATCACTGCCTTGTGTCTGGGGTTGGTTCCCAATCACACGAATAAAACCACCTGAGACGGAAACAGTAAAGAGATGAAGCGAGATAGAGAAAGAGAGGAAGGATGAAGACAAAGTAAAGAACAAGCATATCGAGATAACATTCTTGACCATTACAGAATATGGGCAAGATAAAGGAAGACGGATACATACATTCATGCTCATATTCGTATGCATTTATGGATGGGAAATTGCATTCTCTAATGGATAACAGTGAAACTCAGAATGAATTACAGGGCATATACATACATCATATTGTCTTTGCCATGACGTCCGTGGGATGCTGGCTCTCTTATAAAGCACGTAGGAATTGTGCTCGGTTCCATATCTATAAATTTTGCTCTCAGGGCACCTTCAGTAGCTGTCATAACCTCAAATGTAGATCGTCAGCGAGCGTTGTACTGAATGCTAATATCTGTTCACCATAAACAATATCCATGTATCAATTAATTCATTGGATATGTATACGTTTTCAAGCACTACTTTATTAAATATAGAAAGTACTATGAACACTGTGTCAGCACAGTTAAGAGTGAATTTGAAATTGACACCAACGTGAAGCATTATTATTGTTGAGTGCATTTTGCTGACATGCTACTGGAGGTTGAATTACTTGGCGCTACTATAGTTTGCCTCAAGGCTAGCTGCAAAATAACAATCTAACACGTGTGACTTCAATATTTTCACTTCAGGGACAAAGTTACACTTGCGGAACAATGCAATTTCAAATGGATAAAGAAATCTGAAAACTATTAAGTGTTGTCAGCAGTATTTGTTTTCCTTCTAGATCAGCCCTGCTCCACAAGTTAGACAAAGCACTCTGTTTAGCGTATATAACCTCATTCCCCTGGCAGTTCTTAACAGATAAGACATCAAAAGTTGTTGCTGTGAACTCCACTAAGTTTACCGGTGAAACCAATCGTTGGCTGTCCATTTCTGGATATCCAGAGATGCTAAGCATTTATCCTGCATGAATGTCAGCCCTTATCTTGTCCTTTGGATTAAGGTGTTTGTTATGCCCCCGAGTTTGCATCCCTAAAGAGTTCGGTATGCTTCAAGACGAACAGTGCCTGAAACCCCCCCTCCCCTCGCAACCTTTCAATTGGAATCGGAGAGTTGACTCCCAAACCAACAGTTTGAAAGGCGCACCGACTTCATGGAGCTATAGCCCAAAAGGGCAGGTGCGAAAAAGAATAGGCTCACCCAAGCTTTCTTTTTTCATTCATAACACAACTTCCTCCAGTTTTCATGTGTACAACCGATTGCAACAAACACTCTCTCGCCCTACCATCAAGTGTGGCCATTTGAGACAACTATGAAAAGCATTGGCCATCAGATATGGTTCACCAACATTTCTTACAAACGTGTTTGTTTAAAGCATACCCCTTAACACCGTTCTCTGACTAGCTTGTCCCTACAGGCATTTCTCAGGGATCCGTTCTCTCTCACCTGCTTTTCCTACATACACGTACAGTGTATGCTGTGCATTATAAAAGCAGTGATCTCTCCCTCATGATGCATGCTGACGACATTATACTGTTGCCAGCAGGACAAAAACAGAGCTTCCTACTGGCAAGACATCGTCACCCCAAAGGTCACAAAGAGCTGTGTCAAGAATACAGAATGAATGTGGGTAGAACAGGTTCTACCTACAGCGCAAGCCAATTAACATCAAAGGGCAGGGAAAAGGAGCTGGTCGCTGGCAACAGTAAATAAAAACAAAATCCACTTTCCGGGGCAATGTTGATCAAATTTTCAAATTTGACCATATTGACCAAGGATGTTCTTATCTCATCATTTCATGATATGGTAATCAAGCAAAGAAAAAAAAACAAGACAAGTCTAAGACAAGCTCTGACTGCAGTACCAGTCTATAATCAAAAAAATCTATTGAGTATTTTGGTGACACCACCTAGTCCTCTGAATTAGCATACCAGATGCAGCCTTCATGCTGCACACTTCAGGTCCCAAGTCAAGTTCAAGACATCATTTATTCCATTCACTGGAACTTTTCTTCAACAAGCGTCTAACCACCCCCACCCCCCAACACCCATGCACGTCACCAACCTATTCTCTTTTTAACATTTGATCACATGTTTAGTTATTATTTGAAATCTATCTTTTGTGTGGTTTATCCTGATGTGTTATGTGAAGTATGCCAGTGCCAAAGACAAAATTTCCATTTCATGTAAATGTGAAGGACAAGAAAGTGTTTCTGAATCTGCATCTACATGCCAGCTGTGCCTCGGCAACAGTAAGTGTAGCGTAGGGAAGATGATGTAAAACCGGCTTTGTAAAAGGAAAAGGGAAGCAAGTGAGCAGAAGAGAAAATTAGAGGACATATTGAAAACACGCCATTCGCCGAGGTGAAAGGGAAAAAACCTGTCAGCTGCAATAGCACGCGGTTTGTCAAGATTTTTTTTTTTTCCTTCCTTTTCTTATTTAATCCATTACTGTGAATTTATCACATTGTCGGCAAGGTCACTTCACTATTCACTAACCGGTTTTGTTTCGCTTCTAAATTACCATCCAGTGGGGTGACCCTCAGCTGATGAAGATGTATTGCGGCGTCAGGTAAACAATACTAATGAGTGAACGAATGCTATCATGTGTGTGCGCTCCACTCTGCATGCGTGTTAGACATGTCATTTATGACTGAAATAACAGTACAATGGCTATATCGGTGATGACTCAGGTGTTCATCTTTTACTAACCGTCTGTCTGCTTTACCTTGAACGCAACTGATTCACAGTTCTACAATAATAACAACTATTTATACATTTGTATCATCTACCGTCACAAGTCCGTGATAAAAGAAGCATCAGGTTGCTGTGGCGGAGACCCTAATGTAACTGCACAGACATCACATATTTGCAAAACAGATTTGTGTTACTGAAAATTCTAACTCATCAATACTCTTTTATAACAATAATGGATTCAATGAATTTGGGTAGTGTGAAGGATGTTCACAAATGATTATCATCCAACTGCGCAGTTGTCCCCCCCCCACGAGGAAAATTTTAGCACCGGTCAGCTTTTTAGTTTTGTTATTTTTTAGCTTGCAACTTGACCCAACTCTTGACATTGTCATATCCAGCTGCACCAGGCAGCTGCTTTCATCAACAAGGCTCCGATAAACACACTGTGCACTAAACAGCAGTCCATAAAGTTAGTGATTATAGCTGGTGAACTTAGTGCAGCCTTTAGAATCTTAAGAGCCACATCGTTTCAATTACTGTTTCAATCGGTTCAATTACTGTGATTTACCGTATGAGGAAAACATCATACGGTAACATTTGGATTTGCTTCACTAGCCAAACTCATCTCCCAGCAACATCTTCTCATAGTGACACTATCTGTTACCATTCGACCATGTCACTGCGGTGCTGA